TCTCCATCCTCAGCTGCACCAGATCTGACAGGTTTAAACCTTTGCAGAAGAGTCTGGGGGGAAAACATTTCATTTCGTGTGCCCTTCCGAGATTGCCAGTGAGTGGTAGGGATGCTTGGTCCTGTCTTTGTCCCTCAAAGAGACTCCTTGCCTCTGTTGATTTTCAAAGTTCTGGCCAAGGACCAATCCTTGCACCATGGGGCCCTCAAGGCTTTGTGTGTGGTGTGCGTGGCCAGATCATCTTATCTTGAGCTGCAGTTACGTGTGCTGTTTGTGTTCTCTAGCCTAACTGAAATTCATGAACACAAACGGTTGTAGTAGGATTCGCCCCTCGGAAACATCCCATCTGTCGGAGACACCTCAGGTCCTACCTGATGTGCATTGCTAGGCTGTGCCGACTCTTGGCACCTAAGGGAAGGGTGCCCCAGTGAGACTCTGAGGACTGCTGTGTTAGGGGCCCTTCCTCCTCCCTGTGAGTTTTGAGGTGGACATTACTGGGAAGAGGAGAGCAGAGACGTACCTGGGCTGGAGTCTTGTTCCCTGCCGTATTTTCTTCCATTTGAATGTGGTTCCTGACAGTGTCAAAGTCCATGTCTCTTCCTAGAGAACTGGGAGCTCAAATTTGTCAGCAAAATTTAGAGACCAAAGGCACTTACTTATTTATTTTTATTTTTTGAGATGGAGTCTTACTCCATCGCCAGGCTGGAGTGCCGTGGCGCGATCTCGGCTCACTGCAACCTCCGCCTTCTGGGTTCAAGTGATTCTCCTGCCTCAGCCTCCTGGGTAGCTGGGACTACAGGTGCCCACCACCATGCCCGGCTAATTTTTTGTATTTTTAGTAGAGACGGGGTTTCACCATGTTAGCCAGGATGGTCTCGATATCTTGACCTTGCGATCCGCCCGCCTCAGCCTCCCAAAGTGCTGGGATTACAGGCATGAGCCACCTCGCCCGGCCCAAAGGCACTTATAATCCACGTGCCTGCGGACAGGGAATTGGATTTAAGCAAATCTGGGGAATTCTAATTAACAGCAGTTAGAAGGGGTACAGGGCCAGGTGCTGTCTTGGAGGTGCTCCAGGTATCACAGGTCGTGCTTTGAAAAAAGCTGCAGTATTTTAGCATGATCCTGTTTTCTTCCAAACAGTCATAAATGTTTTTACATGTATAGAGAACATTCTGGAAGGGGTCACACCAAGTGTTCACAATGGTGGGTGGCCTCTGGGAACTGGGGTTAAGGGTGTTAACTTTTTTTTTTTTTGAGATGGAGTTTCGCTCTTGTTGCTCAGGCTGGAGTACAATGGCGTGATCTTGGCTCACTGCACCCTCCACCTCCTGGACTCAAGCGATTCTCCTGCCTCAGCCTCCCGAGTAGCTGGGATTACAGGCGCTTGCCACCATGCCCAGCTAATGTTTGGTATTTTTGATAGAGATGGGGTTTTACTATGTTGGCCAGGTTGGTCTTGAACTCCTGACCTCAGGTGATCCACCCACCTCACCCTCCCGAAGTGCTGGGATTGCAGGCGTGAGCCACTGCGCCCTGCTCAGGGTGTTCAGTTTTTTTTTTTTTTTGAGACGGAGTCTCACTCTGTCGCCCAGGCTGGAGTGCAGTGGCGCGATCTCGGCTCACTGCAAGCTCCGCCTCCCGGGTTCACGCCATTCTCCTGCCTCAGTCTCCCGAGTAGCTGGGACTACAGGCGCCCACAACCGCGCCCGGCTAATTTTTTGTATTTTTAGTAGAGACGGGGTTTCACCGTGGTCTCGATCTCCTGACCTTGTGATCCGCCCGCCTCGGCCTCCCAAAGTGCTGGGATTACAGGCGTGAGCCACCGCGCCCGGCCAGGGTGTTCACTTTTTTATAGTCTTCAACCAGGTCTAGATTTTTTTTAGAAAGTGCAATTAATAAGTAGAAGAATTAGGAGGTAAAAAAGAACAGTCTTACTGGCCGGCAGGCAGCTGGCTCCAAGGCCATGCTCCAGATCCGCCATTTGTGGGGCGGACAGCACCTGTCCTGTGATGCCAGGATCTGGGGCGGGCCAAGGGAGCACATCCTCCAAGGGGTTCCACCTGCAAGCTCTGCCTGCCGGATGCCCTGGATCTCACATCTCACCTGAGCCCACAGCCCTCATTCGGGCAGGACTGGCCTCGGCCACCCATGGAGCAGCTTTCAGGGTGGGGCTGCTCCAGCTCTCGCCAGGACACTCACGGCTTGCAGAGACACCTTCCTGAGAGGAGAGCTCGTGCCGACGTTTTTCTCCTGCCTTCCACTGTGTGGCAGCTATACAGAGGGCCAGGGTGCAGGCAGTGTGGACCACACCCCGGTGCTGTGGGAGTGGGCGCTATTGGAAAGCCACCTCCCATAGAAGCAGCGTGTTCCAGGCAGGTGCAGAGGTGGGAGGCAGCGTCTTGCCAGCGAGATGTCCCCAAGTGAGGGGCCTCATCGCCCATCCCAGCGCTGTCCCTGCAGGTGCAGCAGGAGCGGGACGAGCTCTACCGGAAGTTCACTGCAGCCATCCAGGAGGTGCAGCAGAAGACAGGCTTCAAGAACCTGGTGCTAGAGCGCAAGCTACAGGCTCTGAGCGCTGCTGTGGAGAAGAAGGAGGTGCAGTTCAACGAGGTCCTGGCTGCCTCTAACCTGGACCCCGCAGCCCTGACGCTGGTGTCCCGCAAGCTTGAGGTAGGCCCTAGACAGGCTCCTGGCCCCAGTGGGCAGCCTCTTCCGTGTGGCAAGGGTCTTCAGTTCTGTGCTGTTCCCCCTCGGACGGGCACAGAGACCCCTCGGTTAACCACTGGGGAGGGGGCATTCATGGGTTTCCTGTGACCTGAGAACAGAGCGGGGTGCCGTAGGCATGGATGCCTCTCACCATCTGCACCGGCAGCCTCTTCTCACAGATCTGCTCAAGTCTCTCTCGGATCTTCCCTTGCCCCTGTGTGACCTCATGGTGACTCCTAACCTCTGAGCCTCTGCCCACTCCAATTCTCGGGTCTGGCTCATCTGAGCACGTAAGGCTCTAGTCATCTGAGTGCAGCCTGAGGATGGCCTTGGGAGTGGAAAAGCCACTCTTGGAATCTCTGTGGGCCTGAGCTCGTCTGTTGGTGGTAACAGACCCAGACACAGGCCTGGAGGATGGCGGTACTTCCTGAGCTCTCAGCCCAGGGCACCGCATCCTGGGACAGAGATGGTACCGGGAGGCCCTGAGATGGGCTGGTTTAGGACGTGGACAGTTATGGATACGGTAAGTGCAGGGCCGTGGGAGCCTGGGTAGCCTGACCCCACCTTTGCGGTACTGGGGACATGAAGTCTAAGCAGGGCCCAGAACATTCCCTCGTTCTGTGTCACAGTTATTTATGGTGCTGCTCTGCTAGGGTGTCCCGGGCATGGGCGAGGGCAGTAAAGAAAGCAGATGAGGCCTGGGCCCCCCACAGGGAGAAACAGCATCAGCTGGAGGATCAGGAGGAGGCTGGAGCCTACAACTGCCTCACAGGTGGTCTCTTACCTGTGTCCAGCTTGTGGACCTGGGCCTTGCCTCTGTTCCCTGGACCTCGTTGGGAGAAGTCACAGAAGGAACAGGATACAGGGCAAAGGGTCTTTGACTGACACTGGAATCCTGGCCAGGTGAGGCCAGGCCTGTGGCTTCCTCGTGGCCCTCCAAGTTGGATGACGTGCCCCTGGCCCAGCTGCTGCCCCTGAGCTGGAAACAGCTGGTCTTGAAGCCTCTACCAACAGCCCCAGCACAGGGAGGCTGGGTTGTCACAGAGATGCAGCCTTCGGGGCCGCAGGGTACCCGTCTGTCTTTGTGCTGGACTCGTCCTTCAGTGAAACAGATGCCTGGGACATAGGCTTGAGGCTTCCTCACTGTCTGGGGAAGCATCTTTTATCCTGAGAACTATCACAGATAGCATTTTTGTTTGTTTGTTTTCAAGACTAAGTGTTGCTCTGTTGCCCAGGCTGGAGTGCAGTGGCGTGACCTTAGCTCACTGCAGCCTCTCCCTCCCAGGTTCCAGTGGTTCTCGTGCCTCATCCTCCTGAATACCTGGGATTACAGGCATGTGCCACCACGCCCGGCTAATTTTTGTATTTTTAGTAGAGATGGAGTTTCACCATGTTGGTTAAGCTGGTCTTGAACTCCTGACCTCAAGTGATTCGCCCGCCTTGGCCTCCCAAAGTGCTAGGATTATAGGCATGAGCCACCGTACCCAGCCACAGATGGCTTTTTTTTTTTTTTTTGTAAATTATTTTATTTCTTCCTTGATGATTTAGAGGGACTATATTTAAACCAGTAAAAATAGTTCATACATAATACCTGGCCATTTTCTTCCGAAATCTCTCTCTTTTTTTTTTTTTTCCGAGACAGGAGTCTTGCTCTGTCACCCAGTCTGGAGTGCAGTGGTGTGATCTCGGCTCACTGCAACCTCTGCCTTCTGGGTTCAAGCAGTTCTCCTGCCTCAGCCTCCTGAGTAGCTGGGATTACAGGTGCCCGCCACAGCACCCAGCTAATTTTTTTTAGACGGAATCTCTCTCTGTCGCCCAGGCTGGAGTACAGTGGCGTGATCTCGGCTCACTGCAACCTCCGTGTCCCGGCTTCAAACGATTCTCCTGCCTCAGCCTCCTGAATAGCTGGGATTACAGGCGTGCACCACCACGCCTGGCAAATTTTGTATTTTTAGTAGAGACGGGGTTTTACCATGTTGGTCATGCTGGTCTCAAACTCCTGACCTCATGACCTGCCCACCTCAGCCTCCCAAAGTGCTAGAATTACAGGTGTGAGCCACTGCGCCTGGCAATTTTTGTATTTTGTTTAGCAGAGATGGGGTTTCACCATGTTGGCCAGGTGGATCTCGGACTCCTCACCTCGTGATCCACCCACTTTGGCCTCCTAGAGTGCTGGGATTACAGGCGTGAGCCACCACGCCTGGATACCTGGCCATTTTCTAACCAGTTGAGTAATTTGTTGCACAATAAGCTACCTCACGTCTTTCAGCAAGAAATACATTACATTTGAGTAGTAAAGACATTATATAATGAATTAGGACACAATTAAAATTTGCTTTAAATATTTCTTTGGGGGAGAGGATGCCACACTTCTACTCAATGAAGAGAAACATTTTATAGTCCAGAGGTCTTGTGTTTTTTTAACACCTATGATGCCATGAATTCATCGGAAAGAGGTTCCAGCAGCTTGGGCTCCTTCCCGTTGATTCTCACAAAGCTGCTTCTCTGGGTGGAGCAGGCTGGCGCTTCAGTTGAACCCACGTACCTTTCTCTTCGGCTTCTTTCTTCTTCTGATCATTTTCCTTCACGCGTTTCAGGAAGCTGTCTCGGCTCTTAGAGTGCTCAGTGTGCTCAGTACACACCTTAATTCTCTCAGCAAGAATCTTGCCCTTGTTTGTTTACAACAACGCCAGCAGCGTGCTGGGGAACACTGCAGACTCCCCAGTTCAGCCATGGCAGCACTTGTGGGGCTTCCTTTTTGAACAGTACCCATTCCCTTGATGTCTGCAGTATCAGCTTTCTTACAGATTCGCATATACGTGGCCAGAGGAACAACTGTTTTCTAAAAAGCCGGAGAACGTGTATCGGGTGCCTCTCCTCTTTCTCTTTGTGTTTGTCATTTGGGCGAATTACTGGAAGATGGTGGTTCCAGCTGCAAGGCCACAGATGGCGTTTTTAAGGTGATTGGTCCACATGCAGTTCAGCTGAACACAAATCCACGTGCTCATCGCTGACACCAGGCCAAGGGTTAACCTCATTCAAGTCAACTAATCTCTTTTTTTTTCCTGCGAGTCTCGCTGTGTCGCCCAGGCTGGAGTGCAGTGGCACAGTCATAGTAGTGAGCCCCTCGCTGAGCCGCCCTGGGGGCACCCAGGTGTTGGACAGATGCAGGACTGGGCTGAAAAGGCTGGTTCTGAAAGGCCCGTCAGCTGTGCCTTTGAGTTTCGGGCCAGTTGGGAACTATGGAAGGGCTGGGCAGGGGGAACCAGATCAGAGCCCACTCTGCTGCTGATGGGGAGCACAGGGCTGGCGGGGCTGGGTGGGGCAAGCACACAGTGGGGACAGGCAGAGGGTTTAAGAACCACCAGGAGGCTGAGTCCACAGGTGGGGCTGGGAGGGGCCGAGGTGACTTGGTGTTCACACATGGGGGAACCAAGGGTCCTGGCCCAGTGGGTGGTGGTGCCTGTGGGGGACCCTGGTCATCTGGGATGGCCTGGCTCTCAGGGCCTGAGGTAGTAAGGCTGGACAGGAGGGGCCTCACCTGGGCCAGAGGCACTGTGGCCCCCAGACTGAAGACTCATCTTTGCTGGTCTGCTCAGCACTGGGCCCTGTGAGCACAGGCAGGTGAGGGGTCACTGCTGGGAGGCGGGGGAGGTGTGTTTCCAGCTCCTGGCTGAGGGCTGCACCTGGCCTGCTGCTAAGCCACCGCAATGAGGGTGAAGAGAGCAGTCGTGGCCTGTGAGAGTTGTTGCAGCTGCGCCCACGCACCAGGGTGAGGATGGAGCTAAATGTGGGTCAATTCCTTCTTTCCTGGTCATTGTTACCTTGACTTCTAAGTGAGGAATCTTCTGGGGAAATGACAGAGGCCCCCGCAGGGACACTGTTTGCAGACTGGGCAGGTTGGGGTGTGAGGGGGCTGCTGTGTCAGTGGGCAGCAGAGACGGCTCAAAAGCCAGGCTGGGCCCAGCAGTGCCCCACAGGCAGGAGCCCAAGAAGCCCCCTGCCTCACCACATGGTGAAACCCTTGCCCACATCTGGGTGGGGCCAACGCTGCTGAAGACTATTTGTTTCTGTTACAAAAAAGTGGGATGGCCAGGTGCGGTGGCTCATGCCTGTAATCCCAGCACTTTGGGAGGCCAAGGCGGGCAGATCACAAGGTCAGGAGTTCAAGACCAGCGTGGCCAAGATGGTGAAACCGTCTCTACTAAAAATGCAAAAATTGGCCGGGCGCGGTGGCTCAAGCCTGTAATCCCAGCACTTTGGGAGGCCGAGACGGGTGGATCATGAGGTCAGGAGATCGAGACCATCCTGGCTAACACGGTGAAACCCCGTCTCTACTAAAAAATACAAAAAAAACTAGCTGGGTGAGGTGGCGGGCGCCTGTAGTCCCAGCTACTCGGGAGGCTGAGGCAGGAGAATGGCGTGGACCCAGGAGGCGGAGCTTGCAGTGAGCTGAGATCCGGCCACTGCACTCCAGCCTGGGCGACAGAGCCAGACTCTGTCTCAAAAAAAAAAAAATGTAATGTAGGCAATATGCGAATGGTGTTTAGTGGCCCGTCTCCACGGTGTGGCTGCACGCTGCCTGCCCTTGCCTCATCTGCATTTCTTGTGTGTCTGGACCGTTTTGGGGGTTTTTTTGAGGTGGTGTCTTGCTCTGTCATCCAGACTAGAGTGCAGTGGCTCAATCTCACCTCCCTGCGACCTCTGTTTCCCAGGTTCAAGCGATTCTCGTGCCTCAGCCTCCTGAGTAGCTGGGATTACACAGGCGCGAGCCACTGTGCCCGGCTACTTTTTGTATTTTTAGTAGAGATGGGGTTTTGCAACGTTGGCCAGGCTGGTCTCAAACTCCTGACCTCAAGTCATCTGCCTTCCTTGGCCTCCCAAACTGCTGGGATCACAGGCATGAGCGGCTGTGCCTGGTTCGGGCTGTTGATGGAGATGCAGGTTGTGTGAGCACAGGCTCCCAGTTCTCTGTTTCTTCCTTGTTGTTTTCTCTCCACCCTTGGGGACCTTTTTCTGCTGATGACCTTGTGTGGATGGATGCATCCATCAAACCAGGCTGCTATTCCCTGGATCTCTGAGGACCCCCACTGGAACCCCCAGGCCACCCCCACTGCCTCGGCCAAAAGATGAGTCTCAAACTCCATCACCTCTCTCTCCTCAGGATGTTCTGGAATCGAAGAACAGCACCATCAAGGACCTGCAGTATGAGCTGGCCCGGGTCTGTAAGGTACGGATGTGCCCTGCCCTCCCTCAGGGCCACCCCCTCGGTGCCCAGCCTGTTCTAAATGCAGATGGTTTCAGAGGACCGCACCCATTCCCACTTTGTACCTCGTTCGACAAGGCAGCTGTCACTGTCCCCAGCGGAGAGCATCTGGATTCTGTGTGGTCTGGGGCACAGCACTGTTGTCTAGGCCACATCTCTGCTGGGATGGGTGTGGGGGGGACCTGGACCCTTCCCTGGTCAGCCCCTTCCACTGGGCAGGGAGTCAGAAGGTGCTGTGCCCACCAGGGAAGGTAACAGACGTCATTCAACAGGGGCAGGGAGGGCGTGAAGAACCTGAGTGGGAAACCCCCAACCAGGGCCCAGAGCCCTCCCAGACCACAGCTCTGCCCTGAGTGTCCCTGCCCTCTGCCTCTGTCTCCTCATTTGTGGAACGGGAATAGGAACAGCCTCTCCCTGTCGTGCTACCTGAGCCAATGCAGTGGAGGTGCTTGGTGCTGTGTCCCACACAGGAAATGACAGATAAGCGTTTGGCTTTATCCTTCTACACCGTGATGCTCACGCTGCCCCTCCACGGAGCTGCACTCAGCTCTGGTGGTCCTGAGCCTGGGGATCCTCAGCTCCCTCACTCCGCCCTGTCTCCACAGGCCCATAACGACCTGCTGCGCACGTACGAGGCAAAGCTGCTGGCCTTCGGGATCCCTCTGGACAACGTGGGCTTCAAGCCCTTGGAAACAGCTGTGATCGGGCAGACACTGGGCCAGGGCCCCGCGGGACTGGTGGGCACCCCCACGTAGCCGCCCCACTGGGGGGCCACAGCCCAGACAGCCAGCCTAGGAACACTCTGGATGACAACCCCTTTCATACCAAGGACAGCAAGTTTTTTAGATTTTATCATCAGCAAATGAAAACTTTTCACATGTTCTTGCCATCCTCATTCCTGGCTCTGTGGAGGAGAACCACCTGCAGGACCCTCACCCGTGGTGCCCTGTCGCTTCCTTCCCTGGGTGCATGTCCAGGCTGTGTCCAGGCCTACTGCCTGGTCTCACCTTCAACCACAGTCAGCAGCACCTTCTCAGAGTGCCCCGCACTCACCTGGGGGCTGGGGCAGTGCTGCACTGTGCTGCCTGTCTTCATGCCACTGTTGTCCCATCAAGTGGACAGCTTTGCAGGTGCTGGCACTGACTTTATTGACACCTGAGTCACAGCCGCCCAGTGGGATTCTCCAGGGGGCCAGGACTTCCCCAGGAATTGGTGACACCAGTGCTCCCCGATGAGCATGAAGCCCACTCTGTTGAGGGCTGGGTGGGTGCAGCCAGCGTGCGGGAAAGGGCAGGCAGCCTCCTGCCGCCAGTCTTCGCTCTAGCTCCCTCGATAGGTGGTGTAGGACCAGGGGCTCAGCAGCAGGGGCACGTGGAACTTCTGGGCATTGCTGGTGATGGTGAACACAACCTGAGACGGAGAGAGGGCCAGGAGAGAGTATAAGGGGATGGCAGCAAACCACCTATCTGGCCCCAACACACCTTGGAGAATTCAGCAGCCCAGACTGAGGGTCTGGGAGGGGGTGAACCCTCTGCACCAGAGGGACACTCCACAGAAGCTGCAGCCCAATAAGTGAGGTGCTTCTGTGGCGGCTCCAGTGTGGGGTGAGGCAGTGAGGTTAGGCCCAGAGAGCTGGAGTTGGCTCAGATGAAAACCTGTGTCAACAAAGAGGGGATGAGTGGCCCAGCCTCCCCACAAAGCCTGACCCTGAGCAGGTCAGCGATGGGTGTGTCCTTATAGAGTCTATTGCTGCCTGGACACCTTTCTTTTGGGAGCTCAAAGCAAGTGAGCTCACCTACCTGCCACCGCCCAGGACCAGTCTGCCCACTGTCTAAATGATGCCCAGCCAGCAGGACCTGGCCTGCAGATCCCAGTGAGTCATGGGCCTCAGGCCCTCCAGCCCACCGGGGCTCTCACCTCCACGTATGGGTAGAAGCTTTCCTGCCCCCTCTTCCTCCAGTAGCCCTCAGTGTCGAAGGTGAGCTTGTAGGTGCCTGCCTTCATCTGGTCCGGCATCAGGAGTCCAGGGCAGCGGCCATCTGGGTCTGTGTAGCTGGGGAGAGGATGAGGCTGCAGAGATGGGGATGAGACGCCCCACCCCAGCTTTCCTGCGTCTGTACCCCAGTGGGCCTCAGACACTGCCCTGCCACCTGTCAGACTTGGGTGAGCAGACACAGTGGGGCTGTTAGGGCCTGCAGTTGCAGAGCAGTCCAGGGACACCACTGCCCTGTCTTTAGGAAGTCACAACACAGAGAAGCAAAAAGGGAAAAAGTCTCCTACAGTTTATAACCACTTTATAGCTGGCACGTATTTTTCCAGATTTTCTCTATGCATATTTGTTTACAAACTTAAAATAACTCATCAAGTGGATTATACTATTTGTATTGTTTTATAACCTGTGGTTTTCACTTAAAATATTGTGTGTGGCTGGCTGGGCACGGTGGCTCACGCCTGTAATCCCAGCACTTCGGGAGGCCGAGGCGGGCGGATCACGAGGTCAGGAGATCGAGACCATCCTGGCTAACACAGTGAAACCCCGTCTCTACCAAAAATAGAAAAAATTAGCTGGGCATGGCGGCGGGCGCCTGTAGTCCCAGCTACTGGGGAGGCTGAGGCAGGAGAATGGTGTGAACCCGGGAGGTGGAGCTTGCAGTGAGCTGAGATCGCCCCACTGCACTCCAGCCTGGGCGACAGAGCGAGACTCCATTTCAAGAAAAAAAAAGGAAAAAAAAAAAAAGGAAAAGAAAAATGTGTGGCTTTCTGCCAAACCCTCACCCACAGAATGGGCCTGTCCAGCTCCACGGAGTGTCCGTGTTGCGTGCCCTGGTCCCTTATCAGGGTTCTGAACAACTGTGGCTTTGCCCATAGTCACCTCCGGAAAACCTCACATCGTTCTTGCCGGCTGGTCTTTAAAGTGCGCGCCTCTACTGTGATTAGAAGGAGCAGGCCCGAACAAGGTGGCTCACACCTGTAATCCCAGCACTTTGGGAGGCCAAGGCGGGTGGATCATGAGGTCAGGAGTTCAAGGTCAGTCTGGCCAAGATGATGAAACCCTGTCTCTACTAAAAATATAAAAATTAGCCGGGGGTGGTGGCGGGTGCCTGTAATCCCAGCTACTTGGGAGGCTGAGACAGGAGAATCTCTTGAACCTGGGAGGCGGAGGTTGCAGTGAGCCGAGATCACACCATTTCACTCTAGCCTGGACAACAAGAGAAACTGTCTCAAAAACAAAACAAAACAACAAAACCTAGCGTGTGTGCATGGGGGGAATGGGTCCCTGTGACCCACCACGGACGCCCAGCCCACACAGTGCTGTCCTAATTTCTCATGTGAGACCTGGACCCCTCACGTCTCAGCTTTTG